TAAATATTTAAACAATTTTTGTGCAAAATTTTTCTGCACATGCATTTGAATATAAATTTCTGAGATTTTAAATCTGTTATTTTACCTTAATTTTAATTAAAAAATATTTTAAAACCTGCTGATTACCTATAGTATAATTAAATTTCAATATAATGCATGGCAACTGTTGGTAGTTTTGAAGTTTATATATTTTCTTGGCAAACTTCAGTTTTTGACATTTTTGACGGGTTTTTGACGGTTTAAACCAGTATTATACCCTTGTCATGTCAAAAACCACTTTTTGACGTCAAAAACCCAACCCTGGCTTCATAGTTGAACATTAGCAGTGGTAAACCCAAAAATTGAATGGGCTGTTCAACGACGATTAGAGAAAATTTAATATTCAAAAAATTTTCTAAATGAAATGTAGACCTTAATTAAAAAATACCTTTTCCAGCATTTTTTAGCATTAAAGATTCAGCTGTTTTCCAATCAGTGCTTAGTCTCTTGACAAGTAAAAAGGCATTAATAGGGTTTCCAAGAAAAGATTGTGAATCAACACTAGCAACTTGGTGGAGTCTGCCATATTCATCTTTTAATCTAGATAAGAAAATAATTAAGGAATATATGCATAGGAAATCTACTTTATATACATACACTTAGAAAAAGTTTTATGATTGTAAGAGTTGAATGTAAATAAAAACAAACTGAATGACATTTACAAAATGTCCCAACACATACAGAGAAAATAAGTTTATAATAACAAGAATCACGGTAGAGATAAAATCATATGATATTTGAAATAAATTAAGTCAGGAAATTACGCTAGTAACAACACAAAGATAAAATATTGTATAAAACACAGACTTGAAATTAATGTATGTATTTAAAATAATAAAATTAGAATTAGTTTAACTTCAAGTCAGGGCTTCTATGAGTCTAACAAATTTGTATTAGTAACAACAAGTTTATGTTAATACTTTTCAAACATTGAAAATATGAAGTTGGATAAACTCTAAAAAAAAATAATATTCTTTCTACACATTATGCAGTACCTAACATTTGAATAAAAATATAATATATTCCAGTTTTGAAAAACATTCATACAGTGAGTAATAAGCTAAACTGAGTGATAGCAATAATGAGTAATTTTTAAAAGTGCGGGTTTTCATTTTTTTTCCAAACTTTACTTTTAACTTTCTGAAAAAAAGTACTTTTGAAAATATCTTGAAATGTTAAAACACTAAGATAAAAATTAATAAATGCCTAAGTTCATGGCATTTGAAATAGGGTGACCTGGGGTAATTCCTGATCAAAATATGCAAACATCTATTTTGTTTAAAAACAATTCAAGATAGAATTTTAATATTTACTAGAAGTTTGAGGCTATATGAGATGAGTCCTATGCTACGTCTTTTTGCTTGAAAATCTAATTAGAATTTAAAAGATTTTAAATTTTTAGTGATCAGGAATTACCCCTTCTCTTGATCATTTCTGGGGTAATTACTGATCACCAATTTTTATAGTAAATGGGCTGTTTAAAAATAATTATACAATGGCAATAAACAAATAAGACATTAAGATCAAACAAATAAACCAAAAAGATATGTTTATGCAGTTAATAAAACGTTTTATTTAAAATCAGGAATAAAGATTAACACTTCAGCTCTGGCAGCAGCTCTCACACTAAAATTTTCACTTTCAATCATTAAAAGAAATCCACTATTTTTGCTTTCTAGAAGCTTAATATCCTTTTTAGGCTTATAATTTCCCACCATATTTATATTAGGTTAATTTATCAACTTAAAAATTATTCTAACAATGTACACACATAAAATTAAGATAGAAGTCAAGCTAGAAATGGTGCATATCAGAACACATTTGTCTTGTATACAGTTAAAAACAAATTTTGAGATTATAGTTAAAATATATTTTATAGTTGTTCCACTTAATAAATATGAACTGTTATTTAAGAAAAGACAATTAACTATTTATTAACGATTTTTATACTATTTATAAGAAGAAATGACAATGATCAGGAATTACCCCAGTGATCAATAATCACCCCATCTGTAGGGGGCAACATTTGATATAGTTTCCTATAATCAATTATAATGTTTACAGTAGATGTGAAACAATTAAAGAAAAGCCTACACTATTTTAATATCAAAGAAAAAGAAAGTAACTCAAAATATTTATTAAGAGAAGGAGGGGGATGTTTGCAGAAATGTGCACATTTTGAAATCCTTCTTTGAAATGGAAAATTCAGAAAGCATCTTAAACGATACTTATTTTGTTAGATTAAACAAAAAACAATCATTAAGTAAATGTAGTTATACTTTAGTAAAGTGTACAAGCATTCTTGTCCATGTCTCAAATTTAAATTTTTTTTTTTTTTAAATAACTCTTAGGTGATCATTATTTACCCCAGAAACAGAGTGATCGTGAATTACCCCGGATCACCCTAAATAATCTATTTTACATTAATTTTGACACAATATACTAAAAAAATGTGTAAAAGAAACTTTTCTAGCTAGTTAAAATATATAAAAAATTTTATAAGTGTAAATTAAAATTAGAACAATATTTAATAACATTAAAATGAATGCAGCTTAAAATGAATAATAAATGAATAAATAATTATAGAAGACAATGTTCAGTTAAGTAAATCAGTTTTGACATGTTATGGCAGTCTTGAAGGTTAGAGCAGAGGTTAGAGAGAAGGAAAAAACAGCTAATACTGAAACTTTAAGATTACTTTCAGAAATGTACATAAATGGCTAAGTTTCATCAAAATATATTAGCATTAGAAACATATCAAACTTTTCAGTAAAACATAAAATGAGACATCGCAAAAATTTTAAATGGGTAGAAAAAATAAGAAATTCAAATTAAAAAAAAAGTGAGAAAGGAGAAATTATATCTAAATGCGTGTTCTAACTACTAAACTATTGCATTAAAATATAGAGAAATATAAAAATTACGTAAACTGATGCTATTACAGATCAATTACTGAATTTTCGAACTTTTTGTGCTTCAAAAATCATCTTGGATACATTGCTAAAAAAATAATAAACCATAAAGTTAACATTGAATCATCTAATTGATTATTGATCGCTAGTTTGTCCCAAATGTAGATAAAAGCATCTAAATTACTAATTCCAGTCTTAAATCAATTATATAAAAGCCATTAGAAAGAGGAAAAAATTACTTTTAAAGTAATATTTAATACTAACTTCTTAATTTCTTGGAGCCTTTTTTCTTCAGCTTCTATGTATCTTTCAATAGTTTTTATAACTTCACCTTCAGTATAAAGAAGCTTTTCTAAATCAACAATAGCAGTAAAAAGTTCAGTAGAAATGAAATTAAACAAAACACATGTACTTAAAGCAATGAAACAAACTCTTGATGAATTTAATAGCATTTTAATTTAGGGCGATTTTTCCCAGCTGAGTAGGAGAAATTGTTTTTTGAGAAGGAGATAATATTCTAGACGAAAGCGTGTGAATTTTGACAGGAAGGAAACATAAACAGCAAGTAGGTGAAATGAACTTATAATATGAAATGGGAAAGATCAGCAGCAATAAACTAAAAGATCGTGTATTAAAAAATATATCTGCCGGTTTATCACATTTGTGAACTAGATAAATAATCCCTGCGGAAATAAAACGAAAAAAATTAGCACAAATTCATAAACCAGAGAAAGTTGTTCCCATCTCGCGTTTAATGGAAAACATCTGTGCTGTGTCTACTGCTAAAAAAACGGGGTGGGGGGAGAGAATATTAAATGCTGATCAGGCTTCGAAATAAAATTAAATAAAAAGAAAAATATATCACATGCTAAGGAAAGAGCTATTTATTATTTCAGTCACCATAATTTATTTTATTTTTCACCCGAAATTTACAAATCTTATTCAATTTAAATAAAGAAAAATATTTTGAAGAATGGCAGCAATCGAGCATATTTATTTATTACGACGAGCTCGTCTGCACGGTTTAAATGAAGTTATACAAATTTTTAATTTTTTGTTAATTTTTCGACTGGTTATACTTATAAATATTTGTAAAAATAAAGAAATACGATGGCACAGTGTACCATCAATGGAATTCAAGTATTATTTCCTTGTCAACCATATCCAGTTCAAGAAGAATATATGAAAAAAGTAATCGAGTGCTTACAAAAGGTAAATATACAAAATGTGCTTGTATATTAATAAAGTTATTTCTTTTGCTTTCAATTAAATTATTTTATTTTGTTTCTCATCAAATGTGGCTGTTTTAAATTTTTGCTTATAAACAATTTTAAAGACACTAAAATTTCAATGAAACATAAAGTTAAAAACATTTATAATCGATTGTTTTTCTTAAAGAAAGTTTGTAATAATTTAGGCGATGTGTGATTCTGGGTTTATTTTCCTATTTTAGGATATTTCCGTATTAATTCTTTAAAACGGCCCCTTCAATATTCGAATATGTAAAAACTATTTGTTTACCAAGTTTTGTTTTATAAAATTATTCGAAAAATGGAAAGATTTCCGTATCGTGATTGGTGGCAGAATGATCGCTAAATCTTGGCGATTATTGTCAGTGGCCTCAAGAAACTAAAAAAAAAAAAACGTATTAAGGGATTAACTCGAAGAGTATAACTCAAGGCCACCCTTGGGCAAACCTTTACACGTTTTTTTAAAAAAACATTTTCCCCTTTTAAAATCAATTTGGTGCCTTGCGATTGTAGTTTTGGCAGATCATGCTACGCAGCCGATTCTGAGACTTTAAAAACAAGTTCAAGTGTGAACAGGAATAATACTTGTTAAAAAAACAATACATATGTAGAAAAATGGGAGATATTTCCGTATTGTGATCTGCCATGCCAACTACAATCGCCAAGTTTATTGCAAACTGGAAAATTAAAAAAAAAAAAAAAAAAAAACCTGTGGAGGTTTGCCTGGGGGTGGCTACGAGTTATACCATCTGAATTGGTCCTTGTCTGTGATTTTTTTACATTGTTTCTTGTGGTCCGATTCCCGGTAATTGCCAACACTTGGTGATTATTCTGCCTAGACCTGAAAAATGACTTAAAAATTGCATTTCACAAATAAATCTCATTTTGCAAATCAATTGCGCGATCTCCAAGTACCAAAATCAATGATGTTTCATTTACAAATAACACATCGTTATTCATATTCACATGATTTTTAAATTATACACCACAATTCGTTTCCATGCTATTTAAAGAAACTAAATATTGTGATACTTGTTCTCTTGATTACTTATCAAATTACTTATCAAGATTCGGATTCTTGTGATTTGAAATAGATGCAATTAAAAAATCAATGCATTGAAATGGCTTCTATAGATTTGTACTCAATGATATAATATCCCTGTAGAAGATATAGGGATCTGTCTAGGTTTTTCTAAGAGGTACCTAGTTTGTGAAAATTTTGAAATTTTTTGTGAAAATTAAAAGTTATATTAAAAAATCAACACAAAAATATGGATTTCTATGGGATACAAAAATAAAATTTTAAGAAAAAGTATTTTGTGTTTCCTAAAGTTGAATTTGTGAAGGTACTGTTTAACGGTCATGAATTTGGCCTGGACAGACCCCTGATGTGCATAATATGGAATAGATAATTTATTGACAGCTTCAGATCATTTTTTTCCAATTATAGTATCAACTATAAGTAACTAGTTTTACTCATTCATGTTCTTAAAATAATTTATTTTGTTTTTTGAAATTCTAAAATAATGTTCATTGTAGTAATTATGTTCCAATTTTTATATTTAAGGTTTTAATTTTAGGGCGTCAATGGAATTTTAGAGAGTCCAACTGGTACCGGGAAAACATTAAGTTTACTTTGTTCATCTCTAGCTTGGCTTGAAAGTAGGAAAGCTCAACAGCAATTGTCTATTATACAAAATTCTAGCCAGGGAAATAATAGTATGCTTGGTGATTTAAAAAGTGTATTAGATGGATTGACTGGTGCTTGGAATGCAGGCCCTAACTTTAGTAAGAATTTAGCAATTATAATTTTAGTTATCTTATTATTTGCTAAAATGTTTTTAGTAAGTTTAAATACAATCAAACCTCCATATCAAGAACTTGAGCTATAAAAAATAATTTGTTACCAAAGGGAAAAAAAATAATTTCAGAGCAGGGGTCTGCTTAGAAGAATTTTGGGTCTGTTAACGGACCCTTCACAAAATATCTTTCCATGAAAACTGACCCTTCACAAAATAGTTTATCTTTTAATTGGACCCTTGACAACTTTTTTTATCTTCATTATTGTTTTGTTACTGGAATAATCTCTTCCCCGGGAATAAAAAAGAAAGAAGAAGTTTTCCAAGTTTCCCCAAGTTTAAATTCCAAATGTAGAGTATTCTAAGAAAATATTTATACCTTTACAAACATCGTGCGCACATTCTTATTGATATTAAATGATAATTTTGTTTTTTGTAAATAAATAATTGATCAATTTATATTTATTCATAAAATTAATTAATCGAATATTATGTAAATAAAAATTAATTTCTGGCAATTTTTTAAGTAAAATATTATAAATTTAAGAATTGTTTAAGTTTACTTAATGCGTAACACATTAAAAGTGATACATAACTAAGTCGTGTTAGTTAAAATATGTCAATTGAAATTATTAAAAATGTGAGTCATTTTATTTCCAATATTCGTCAGAAATGAATATTCTGCATTGAGCAGTATAGGCTAAATACCAAATAATACCAAATAATTGTATGTTGCATATTTAATTTACTAGCAACAATTGTTAAGCATAATCTTGTATCTATTTACAATTTAAAAACTTCTTGAAAAGATTTTTAGCAATTTTTGTAATAACAGGACCAATTCACAATAACAGGAAAAATATTTGCACAAATTCACAAAAGCAGGACCCTGGTAGAAAGAATGTGACTTAACGCTTATTTTATATTCACAAATTATGAGTAGTTTTTTCACAATTTTTCAAAAATAGTTTCTTTTACAAAATATCTGAATAGACCCCTGCAGAGTACTGTATAACATTAAAAAAGAAGATAAAAGTAAGTACAATGCAAAAATTTTGTTAGTAATGCACTTGAGATTTTATACTTATAAATTAGGATATTTATGAACTCTATTTTATAGTTATTTATGAATATGCATCTAATATTTTATATAGAAAAATTAAAAGATATTTTTTACTTTAGTGTCACAAAGAATTATATATAGCTCAAGAACACATTCTCAAATTTCACAAGCAGTTCAAGAATTGAAACGAAGTAATTACAGGCAGTAAGAATATATAATTAGTTATTTTTCACATTTTTTGCATGTTTTTGTATTTTTAGTCATTAAATATTTATTGCTGTTTTTTCCTCTCAAGTATTAAGTCAGTTGTTCTTGGTTCTCGAGATCAGTTATGCCTTCATCCTGAAGTTTCTAAAGCTCCAAACCACACTGCTAAGCTGTATATGTGTCGAGCAAAAATCAGCAATAAAAGCTGCCCATTTTATTTAAACTTTGAGGAAAAGATTTTATCTCAAACGGATTACCAAGATTCTGCTGTTTTAGATATAGAGGACCTAATGACATTAGGAAAAAAACATACGTAAGTTGTTTACTTTTTTACTATCCATGTTATTTATATTAAATTCTATTTAAAATAACCTATTAACTGACATTCTTGACCTAATTCGCATCTGGTAGCAGAATTTAAGGAATAAATCTACAGATATCTTCATAAATTCAAATTTGTCTGCAACCTCAATATAGTCAGACAGAGATTATTGTAAAAAATCAGCCTAATCTAACGTCTTTCAAGGTACCACAGCCTATTACAGACCAAGGCCATCCCAAGTAGACTTTACCATCTGGTTCTATTCACAACAAGGCTCTTCCGGTTTTTCTTACTTATTACAGTGCCCGCCGCTAATAAAATCACCGGATAATAAAATCAGCCGCTTCATAAAATCAAATCGGCAAGACCCGAATCGTTACAATATTAATACATGTTAAAAACATCCTTTAATAAAATCAACACCGCCGCTTTCTAAAATCAAAATTTTGACTACATAATAAATCAAAAGTGCGATATTTCAGCTTTTTTTGTTCTTATTTATAAAATTTTATTTTTTCGAAGTTTAAGGATTATTTTAGAAGAAGCAACAGTTACTCACAAACCTGTGAAACAGGTGTGGTTAGCACTTTCCTGTGATATACATAGTGTAAGAGTTAAGGAAAAATGTGGATGGTAAGCGGCGAGTTCATAGAAATCAATTTAACAATGTCAATTCCTTGACTTGAATGAAGTTTGGAGAAACCTATCTCACTCAACAGGGGGTTGAATTCTTATCTTACTTTTTATTGAATGAACCATAGCAGGGAGAGAAGTTTCTTTTGATATCTATCTTAACAGAGAACATGAATAGATTTCCAAAAACTGTCTGTGCGCATGTTCCATGTTATTTAAGCCATTTGAGTAAATTATAGTTAGAGTAAGAGCACATATCATTTTTAAGTTCGTTTGGTGCTAAATTTTATCAGCATGCCGAAAAGGAAGGATTTGAGTCTTAAAGATAAATTCGAAGTGTTGCAAAACTAAGATAAGCTTCCTAAATGTAGTCAACTCGAAGCTTCAATTAAATTAAGGATTTCCCAAACTGCTCTTTTCAACATTCTGAAACAAAGGATAAATATTTCTGAAGAAATAAAAAAGAATGGAAATCTGTCAAGAAAGGAAAATCGGAGGAAATTGAAATGGCTCTGTTAGAATGGTTCAAAAATGCACGCGAACGAAGAATTCCAATTTCCCGTGGAATTTTATTTCACAAAGCACAGGACTTGGCTAACTTATTTGGTGATTCTGATTTTAAAACTACAGATAGGTGGCTAACCCGATGGAAAGAACGCAACAACATTGTCTATCGTAAATTGCATGGTGAAAAGCAAGATGCTGATTTTAGCTCTGCTGCCAATTGGGTAAACGACGTGTGGCCAACACTCATCAAAGACTATAAACCTGAGCAAATTTTCAACACAGATGAAACAGGATTATTTTTCTTTTCCGAGCACTTCCTGAACACACACTGCTGTTTAAAAATGAATCGACTGGTGGATGTAAAAAAATGAAGGAAAGACTAACCGTGCTGCTAACATGCAACATGACAGGAACTGTGAGAAAAAAACCCTTTAGTGATAGGAAAGAGTTTAAAACCTCGATGTTTTAAAGGAGTAAAACACCTGCCCACCAGTTATGCCAACAGCTATAACGCATGGATGACATCCAACATCTTCACAAAATTTCTTGTTGAATGGGACAAGGAGCTGAAAAATGAAAAGGTCGTCTTACTTTTAGACAATTGTTCTGCGCACCCTGCTGATGAGGACTTGAGTTTGAAAAACATTAAATTAGTGTTTTTGCCACCGAACACTACAGCTATTATTCAACCCCTTGACCAGGGAATCATAAGATCATTCAAGTTTCATTACAGAAAAATGGTTGTTCAAAAAATCATTAGTGACATAGACTGTGACAGCTCTTCGGAACCCTTAACTACAAACAAACTATCGAAATCCCTTACGATTTTGGAATCAATGCATTTGATTCGTAACTCATGGGACATTGTTTCAACCCAAACAATATCGAATTGCTTTAAAAAGTGTGGATTCACTGGTGATGGAGCTGATAACTGTTTCGAAGAAATGCTCAGCAATGAAGAAAATGAAATGGACGAGAATTTTTCATGTTACGTAGCTATTGACGATAACCTACAAACATCAGGAGAAAAATTTCTGAAATTGTTACTGACATCAAAAATTGCAAAGTTATTTCCAATCAAGATATGGAAGAATCAGACTCAGAAGATGAAATAAACTCATGAGTGCCATCTTCAACGGAAGTCAGAAAAGCACTTATTGTATTGCGGCAAGCTTTAGAACAAAGAGGAGGAAATATCAAAAACTATAAAAACTTCTATAAACTCTCAAATGATGTTGAAAAGTTAATTTTAAATAGTGCAACTCAAGCAACCATTGATCGGTTTTTTGCAAAAGTTTTGTAAATTTAATCTTATGTAGGGTTTTACTTTATTAAAATAATTAAATTAGTTGAATAAAGCATTAATGTTGTCATTATTTCAGCTTTTAAAGTGTTTGCATTTAGAATATATTTTTAAAATGTGATTTTTTTTAAATGTTGAATCACCTCTTAATAAAATCAGCCGCTTAATAAAATCAAAAGAGCATAAAACAAAAGTGATTTTAATAAACGGCGGGCACTGTATATTAAAAGTCCTACTCCACCGAGTCAAACCACCTAATTAGGGGTCTTCCTAATTTTCTGTTTCTCATGGGGACAGTAAAAGTAAGCTTTTTAAATGAGTTTGTATTATCAGGTCAGAATAGATGTTCGAGCTATCATAGTTTATTGCATTTTATTACTTTAACAATATCAGGTTCCTTGTACTTTTGATAAATTTCAAGGTTAGACAGTTCAAAAGTTAAATTTAAAAACAAGGATCTTCAACTATTATTCTCATTAACTACATCAAATATTTTTAAGATCTTCTGTTCGAAGGTCAATAATTTATTTTCATGTTATTGCCTAGCATTCACTCTTATAAATGTCAAATTAGTGTTTTATAGATGCTAATTTTTGTTTTTAAACTTATAAATGAAGATTTTAGTTTCGAGGTCATTTTTGAGACCCTGATAGTTTTTATCTTTAATGAATTATCAAGATTCTGCTGTTTTAGGTATAGAGAACCTAATAACCTTAGGAAACCTATACCTGAGTTATCTACTATTTTACTATCCTTTATTATTTAATTAAATTGCATTGTAAATAACTTATTAATTAATAGTCCTGACTTAATTAACCCCTGGTAGCTAAATTTATGGAGTAAATCTGCAGATATTAGCATTTTGGTAATGAATACGATCTTCATAAATCCAAATTTGTCTGTGACCTCAACATAGTCAGATGGAGATTATTATTGTAAAAATTCAGTTTAATCTAACATTCCTGTAGCAAAATTTGTGAATATAACGGCTGTGAAAATTATATATAGAGACTTTATGTTGTTTAAATTAATTTGAATTTTATACAATGATTCTAAAAAAATGAAATAAATCCCTATACAGTTAAGCCTATAAGTTGTGTTATCAAGTTATTGGATTTTTTATTTAATTATTTGTTTTTTTTTGGCGATGTTTTCTCAATTCAGCATTTTAATTTTTATTCAAAACAAGCTTAGAGATGCTCATAAGAGAAGTCTCAGCAATTTTTGAACATTTATATTTTTATTTTTTTACGAATAAAGTTACAATCAAAAAAATAATCTGCTAATCTGGAATTCATATAAAATATCAGCATTTCGTTATGATTGTTGAAACTTGTTTTTACAAATATTTTAATCTTTTGAATAAATGGGAAAAGGGGGACTTCAACTGAAAAATTAAGATATTTTTTGTTAACAATAGAATAATGGATTCTAGACGAGAAACTAGGTATAATTATGTTTTATAGCTCAATCTTATAAGTGATGTGCACAGAAGGAAGAAGAGAGAAATTTAGGGATTTCATTTAGACTTTTTTACTAGACTGATAGTATAAGTAAACTGTTTTATATATTAACACTTAGAACATAAAAATATTAGTGATTTTAATTTTGATTGTTGAAAAGATTTTTTTAAAAAAGGAGAAATTTATTTATTTTGAGAAATTTTTTTAGGGTCTATGTATTTGTAGTAATTATCATATTGTTTGTAGTAGAGAAAAAGTAAATAAATATTACAGGTAATGTAAAGTTGAGGAATGTAAATTTGTTGTATTGCATTAAATTATCAAATATATATGTAACTGCAGTTGGAAATTTCTTACAGGGTTTGTCCATATTATGCTGCTCGTAATATCAAAACAAAGGCAGATATTATATTCACTCCTTACAATTACATCATCGACCCGAAAAGTAGAAGAGCCCATGGCATTGAATTGGAAAGTAATATTGTTATAGTTGATGAAGCACACAACATTGAAAGTGCTTGTGAAGAGAGTATGTCTTTTCAACTGCGTTCATATGATTTGGCACTGTGCATTACTGAGGTAAGATATTTTATCAATTTTTTTCTATTATTGGAAGTATCTTTTGTCTATTTATTTAATTTTTGGAGAAAAGCATGTAACTGTGTTCAGATTGTGAAAACATGTAGCTTTTTACAGACATGTGTAATTGTTGATAAATAGTTTAATTTCCCCCCGATAGTTTTGTAATCCCTATAAATTTTCCTAAAGTGTAACATGTTCATTGACTGATCTTTAAAAGCATTAATAAATAAATAAAAAATGTTCCTTCCTTGGTAAAAATTACATATTTTTATTTTTGTTTTGAAATGCAATTTGTATAGTAATTACTATCCAATTTTTTTTTTTTTTGCTTAAATAAGTAGAAAAATAATTGTGTGGTAAACTTTGGAGAATCTCATTGGTATGGTGAACTTTAATTCTAATTTTTTACTTTCAACTTTCGCAAAGAAAAACAAATGTATCAAATAAAAATAATGAGAGATAAATAAATTTTTCAATCGCTTTTTGCAACTAAGTGTAGTAGTCATCATTTAATGTTAAAATTATGGTAGTCTTTATATACCTAGAAATGTGGTGTGGGTCGTTTTGATCCTTGCAGAAGAAATCTGCATATTTCGCTGTATAATTTTATATATTTGAGACAATTAAAACTTAACTACAATAATTAAATTCTTTTTTTTTTTTGTGAATGATATAGACATTTGTAAAACATGCAATCAAATGCTAAAAAAATGTATATTCAATTAATTCTATTGAATTTCCTGTTTTTGCATCAAATTTTATTTCAGAAACAGAGAGAATAGAATTTTTAATTCTTTACACAAATTTTCCACTAAAAATGTTTTAACTATTCAAATATTTTAGTATAGAATTTATTTTATACTATAAATGAATTTTTTTTTACCTATTGGAGTCAGCCCAGCAGTGAGTGCAAATACTTATTTTTCTAACTTTCCATGTACAGTATCAAATACAAATTTATTACAGCCGCCGCAAATATTAACAGTTTTCTTCCCTTTGCATCTTTTTCTATCTGACATTTCTTCCTTTTTTTTATAATTCCACTGGAGTTTGAACTTGCAGAAGTCCACTTAGCATAAGAACACGATTATTTTTATTGGTACAGTACAGAACCCGTTTTCCGGAAATCAGAAAGCCGGAAAACCAAAAAAACCGGAACAAAATTCGATAAATTTTCCGCCATTTTTAAAAAAAAAAATTTTTTTTTTCCCTCAAGATTTTAGGATTTTTTGTTCTTTTTTTGAAAGATGTTTACTTTACCATCATTTTGGAAATAATCATTAGTGTATTACTCTATCGTTTTTTCTTATTTTTAAGATTATTTCCAAAAAAAAAATTTTTTTTTAGTTGGGTTTAACAATAAAAAAACGGCTTTTTGTAGCGATTCAGAAAACCGGAAAAATCAGTTATCCGGAATAGCGATGGTCCCGATTGTTCCGGATAATCGGTTCCCTACTGTATAATCTTCTCTTAGTTCTTCTGCTAAACACATAAAAAAATCACATCTGCCTATGCTTTCTTTCACAGCTTCTTTATATAGAGAACACACATAGAACTGTACTTTTTACTAATCTTTAATCTTACACAGAATACATTGTTGTCTATTCAAAATAATTCTGATAAGTTTTTAATGTTTTTATATTTTATTTTTAAATTCAGATTCCACACTAAGTATGAATTACATTTTTCACTAGATTACGCAAATCATGGATATGATAAAAAATTTTGATCAAGAATTTTCAAGTTCAGACAGCGGTGCTCCTGATTTCACTTTAACTGATTTATCTATTTTGAAAGTCATGTTTTGTGAACTGGAAGAAACTATTGATAAGGAACTTTCTGAGACTTCTGCCAATGATGGATCAAAACCAGGAGATTATGTCATAGAGGTTATAAGAGTTTTACAATACCCTTAATTTCTTTACCAGATAATATTTTTCATACTTAATATTTCTGGTGACTGCCTTAGTAAATTTAAAAAATGTGCTTTATTATGTGGTTATTTCAATCTGTGATTTCCTTAATGATTTTCGTAAATTAGAAAAATTAAAATGTGATGTTAGTGCTATTTAATTTCAAAGTGCTAGTGTTGTTAATTTATTAAAAAATCTAATGTTAATGCATATCAGATGTTAAATAATATAAATTAGTGTATTCCTTATAAGTTTTGTTTATAAACAAATCCAAAATGTTTTGTATCAAAGTGTGTAAGTTTCATTCAACCTTAATTTGTGTATGAAATATTGATATTTGTTTCTAAAAAGAAAATTATTATAAAATTAATGGTAAAAATAGAGCATAGAAAAAGTTAAAAAATATCTTTAAGCAGACAAACAAGATCTGCGACAGAGGGCAAAATTTAGCCCTTTAATTACCAATGTGTGGCTTCCTTCTTTCGAACCAAAGATAAATAGGAAAACACTACATAATTAACATACAAATTTTGAAGCAGTATTTCAAACTACACTCAATATACTTGAACTCAAACCACCTGAAATTGTTGCTTTGAAATTGAAAAATGCTCAGGTCCATATTTTTGTTTTAAACAATTTAATTGTTTTGAAATTTTTATTTTTTTTAAAGAAATGTTTTTATTTAATTTATAAATGTAGCTCAAAGATTTATTTAAAAATGAAAGAAACGAGTAATTTATAATCAGGGAAAAAAGAAAGCAATTAAAATAAGAATATTTAATCTTTTTCCAGGGAAAGTTAAAACCTGCTATAATTTAATTTTATTACAAAAGACAAATTGAGCAAGACCTCATATTTAATTAATTCAAAAGTAACTACAGATAACCAGATTTATACAGATTGTCTTTTCATTTTTAAGACAGATTGACAACAATTACTATACTATACTATTATTTTGTTATTTAAAATTTTTTTTTTAACCTTTTAGATCCTGTCTAGAGTTGAGTTAACTCCTCAAAAGAAAGATGTGGTTTTAGACCTTTTAGACAAAATAATTTTATATCATTCAACAAGCACAAGTGGTCTTTTTGGTTCTAAAGGTGCTGGGCTTCAAAAATTTTCTGACTTGGTTAGCATCTTATTTTCTCGAACTTCACCTGATATGTTTAGAGAATATGATTATAAAAAGGAATTTGCCTCTAAATATAGGGTAAGTCTTTCTTTATCTATTATGTGTTTAATTTTCAAATATTTTATCAGTTTAATTTTTTTTTTTTTTTTTTTTTTTTTTTTTTTTTTNTTTTTTTTTTTTTTTTTTTTTTTTTTTTTTTTTTTTTTTTTTTTTTTGGTGTCCGAAATTGCCATTGATTTTTTTTGTATGAATTATAAATTAGCTTGGATTAAAATGGAATTTTGTTATGCCTATTACTATTTTAAATAAGTAAATAAATAAAATAAATATAAAGGAGTAAATAAATAAAAATCAAGATATGTAAATTTGTATATAAAGATACTTTTAAATACATTTTTATTTGATTTTCATTTTATCTCACTCCACATATTTTTTTGGTATTGAAATTTTCCACACTTTACTGATATGCAATTGTCACCTGAAGACTCCATTAAATACCATTTTTAATATTTGGAAGCAAAAATGCATTTTTCAAATTCGCTCATTTATAATTATGTTTTATTTTGTTCATTAATTTAAGTGGTAAATATTTGGTAGTGGTAAATAGTGGTAAATGACAAATGATATGAATAGTGCCATCTCTTGTCAAATTTAATTACAAATTTTAAAACTTAGTGAGAGGGTATTGAATAGTTTTCTAAGTAGAATGCAGCAAATGTATATAATTTTTCTTTACTTGATTTATAAATCTTAGGAACACCTGATATCTTTTTGTGATTCAGTTTTTTTTCTTTTTTCGAAGTAAGTTACATTTTTCGTTTAGAAATATTTATATTTTTTAAATACAAACTATTCAAATCTGATTTGCTACCACATGACTTGCTATTGTAAGTCAATGTTTAATTACAATGATAAAGGTAAAAGGTAAAGCCAGAAATTCGATTCCAACGGCATGATTGCGGTGATGTGGTCAGCAATGCACACATGCTGCCTTTACTTCCTAGACGAGCTGATAGCCATTGATCTGAAGCTGGATAGCTGTCAAGCCACTGCTAGAGAAATTAAAATAATATTTAGATTTTTATTTTCAGTTTATATGCTTTCCTTAGTTTATTTGTGGAATGCTTTATTTAAGGTTTTTCTGCAATATGATACTTTGAATAAGTCTCAGACTTCATCTGATCCTTGGGCTGTTGCTCCTAAAGGTTCTACACGAAAGCAAAGTTGGAAGTTAGATTGCTGGTGTTTTTCACCTGGTTTAGGGTAAGTTAAATCAATTCTCTTTATTTATTTTTTAAGAAAAAAAGAATTTTGAATTGGTTTTAATAATTGAATTAAAACTCTGCACTGGAAGAACCTACTTCTGAAGGCAGGTGTCAATAAAATTTTTAGTTTATTAGAAATCAAAATAATAATGTAATTCTCTTATTACTTTAGAATCTTAAGAACAGATGATCTGTACAGATAAAAGAAAGCATGGTTATTAGTTTATTTATTGTCAAGCAATGAATATTGCATCCTAACATCTTTTTCAATATTGCAAATTTTTGTATATTTTTTTTCTTGGGCTTGTTGTATGAATAGATTAAGAAGTTTGAGTTTGTTTTTATTATTATTAAATAAATTTTCTAATGCTTTTCTATTTTTTTTCTTAGAATGCAGGATATAGTCAATCGAGGTGTTCATAGCATCATCTTGACCAGTGGTACGTTATCCCCTCTTGGACCAATGATTAATGAATTAGGGGTTAATTTTCCTGTGCAGTTGGAAAATCCTCATATTATATCTGACAATCAAGTGTTTGTTGGTGTTGTAACTTGTGGGCCTGATGGCACACCACTCAATTCATCCTTTCAGAATAGGTATTTAAATTACTTTCAACCTTAGATTTGGTTTTATTTATTTGTTATTTTTTTATTTTTTATTCTTTATAACTTAACCTTTTTTTAGACCCCTAGAATCATTTCATTTTTTGCATATTTTGCTATATCTCACAAACTTTTTAATGGAATTATACTCAACTACAAAACTTTTCGTCCAAAGATAACTTCATGTAAAAAAAAAATATTTTGAATTTTAATACAAATTTTTACATTATTTATTTTAAAGTATGTATTTTTAATTAAAAAAAAAGTTGTAAAAATAAAATTTGGTTTTCTAGAACTATTTGACCATATTTGATCATGAAATCAAATTTATTTGTGTCATTATTTTTTGTTGCTTTGTACTCTATGGTATGAAATGTTTGTTCTTTGTAACTACATATATATAAAAAAAAATTCTTTTTCTCCCAGATCCAATGAAAAATACATCAACTCTCTTGGACGTACAATATGTAATTTTGGCAGGATGATACCTGATGGCTTATTGGTGTTTTTCCCTTCCTATTCTGTTATGAAATCTAATGTTGGTTGGTGGGAAGAAAATGGAATATGGCAACAGTTATCTGGAATCAAACCCCTCTTCGTAGAACCTCAAGGGAAGGATGCATTTCAAGAAAGTATTGAGAAATATTATTCTGTAATAAAAGATCCAGATTCTAAAGGTGCTGCTCTTCTTGGAGTATGCAGAGGAAAAGTATGTTATAATTAATATTTTTCATGTAAATTGAAACTTTAATTATGCTGTTTGCAATCAGGTTATTTCTTGAATGATATCTGAAACTACTTTTATGATTTTTAACATTCTCATAAAAAGAAAATGCAGACTTTTGCTGCAGTTAAAATAATAAATATGAATTTTTTGTTGTTGTTGAAATTGTATGAATACCTGCATTTAAAAATCTATTTAATTCAGAGACACTTCTTTATGTATGCCTCTGAAGTTCTAATTATCCTTTTTTTCCAATCATACATGGGGTTACCATCCTTCCTTCCTTCCTCAATGGCACGGCAGCCCCGGGTGGGCTCTGGCCTTCTCAATCAACTTCCTCTAGGCCTGCCTCTGCCTGGCAGTTGTCTTCCAGTTTGAGACTTTTAAGACTGAAAAGTCTCTTTCCACGCAGTCGGCCCATCTCAGCTTTGGTCGACCTCTGGGCCTTGATCCGATGGGCTGAGCCGAAAAGATTATGTTTGTCGAACGCTCTCTGTTCATTCGAATGATGTGACCAGCCCATTTAATTCTTTGAATTTTTACATACTTGCATGGGGTTACCATACAATAAATAAATTTTTTGTTTATTTACTTTGTAAAGGTATATAAATATGCAATATTTATATACCTTTGTAAAGGTATATAAATTAGGTATACCTTTGTTATACCTTTAGGTATAAAAGGTATACCTTTGTAAAGGTATATAAATATGCAATCTCAACTTTGTAGCATTTAAATTATCGGGAGTTTTTTTTTAAAGCTTGTATTAATGTCACTGTGGCATCGGGTGACTAAGATACAATTTGCAATTTGTACACTTTCCTCTTTAAAGATTATCCCACTAAAATTCCTAGCCTGCCAGTCGCCTTTGTACCTGTTTGTCAGCTTCTTTGATCGGCACATGTGAGTTTGTCAGTGTTTTGGTTTGAGTTGTAACTCCTTATAAATATATATACTCCTCTTCCTTCTTTGATTCCTTATAAAATAAAAAAATCTTGTTGAGAATTTAATTTGTTCAGAAATAGGCTAGTTTAGATCGTTAAATTGGCGACAAGAAACAAGCTATGGCATAAAATAATAATAAAAATAATAAAAAAGCGAGACAGCCCTGCGAATATCACATTTGCACATTAACCATCATGCAGTAAATTTTTTAATTTCACTCCTTTTCCATGACGCTCAGATGGGAGCAATAACGTCTCACCCTGGAATTCTATTTCTTATTCCGGGCGGCTCATGATTTTGTTTTCTCCACATAGATTTCATAGAGGGGTGCAACCTCGCGCACATTTTGACTGTTTTATTTATTATTTTTTTATGGAATGTCAACAAATCCTGCTGAGCTTCCAATAAATAGTGTTTAAATTCTTTTTCAACAACAATGTTTCTTTGTTCTTTTCTAATCCATCCAGCCTATTGGCTTCTATTAACCTATGACTCTTTTTGGCTTCTATTAATGACTTTCTGATCCAAATCATCTCATCTTCATTGAGATGCGGATATAAAATAATCATTGACTCCACCACAAAACCTCAATAAAAAACTATTTTATTGGCATTTTCGTTGTTGATAACTTTCTTGGACTTTTATTCTAGTGATCTTCCACAGAGGTTGTATAACTTTATGCTATTTTTCTGAAAATAATTTTACCAACAAAATGTAGACTTTCTTCACAGAACAATGTTATATTTTCCTCTGTCATGGTCTAATTTATTTTTGTATCTATTGATAAATTCAGTGCAATAGGTACTATAATTAATATATATATATTTTTTTAAATTGAGAAACCTAATAATTTCTTTTCATTAAAATATGTCTTAATATTGTAGTATAATTTATTTATCTAAGTTATATGAAATTGTAAATTATCTAAGTTAATAAAATATTTATCCTTTCTTATATATTTATGGCACAGGCATTAAATGAAAACTTTTGACAAAAATGATGCAAACTTGTTGAATATGTAACTTTTTCTCCAATATTTATCTTAAATATGTCATTTACCACTTCAAGTTATGGTAATGTTATTATATAATCTAAAGTTCATCATTGGCGCACGACAGTCGGTGTTGGACCCTAGCATTCTCCTGGATTCTCTGCTATCCTGACCTGTTATTGGCAATGGTAACAAAGTATTTTCTGTGGTGGGCAGATTAATGAACTATGGAGAAGGAGATTCAATCATGAACTTCCCTTAACTGCTGATTATTGTTTAGTGAGTTTACTGTTATACCCAAAACTTGACCATTTGAATGTTAGATTTAGACAGATTTATATTAGATTTCCCTTTAAAAAAAATTTCTCTTCCTTATTTTTAATAATAATTATTTATTTTCATTACGTTTTAGTTTAGAAGTGACCTAAAAGTTTTTTGTCAACCCTATAAATTTTAACTTCATTTTTTAACTGTCAAACTTTCATGTTATTTACTAGGTAAGTGAAGGGTTGGATTTTGCTGATGAAAATGCTCGTGCTGTTGTAATTACTGGCTTACCATTTCCACCATCAATGGATCCAAGGGTTAAAATGAAGATGAGTTATCTTAACAGCATTGCAAAAGAGTCAAAGGTATGTTTTGCGGCATTCTTTTCACTCAACAGATTTTCATTTTGCTCTAAAAATGGATACTTAATGTATCATATACAATCATATAGAAGTTACAATTCCATGATACACAATTATGTTTTTTATGGTAATTTTTATCTGTTCTGCTGCAAAAGAGTTGAATAATCTGGTATAAAATTACTTTTGAGTTAAAACCAATCAAGCAACATAAAGTTATCAAGCAGAAATATATATTTTTTCATTCATTTTTTCAAAATAACTTACTTTAACATTCATTTATAATTAATTAGTTTTTTAATTACCATGTTTTAAAAAAAATTAAATCCATGTATAAGAAGAAAAAAAAAAATTAACGTTTTTCTGCACATTGTATGTTGCATGTCTTTTATTCTTTAAGTTTTTCAAACAAGTTTTATTAATAGCTTTTTTATAGCTGTTAATATGTGTTTGAAATAAAATAAAATAAATAATTAAAAATATAGCAAAGAAAAGAAAAGCTAAATTGAACTCTCATCTATTTATACATTTAGATTTCTTTTATGCTCATTTATAATGAGTTCGTTCTTAAGTTACTTAAATTATCTTTTTTTTCATTATTAATCACTGCAGTGGAAATATATATATATACAGTGAAACCTCCTGTTATGGACACTCCTGCAAGACGGACGCCTCTCAATACGGACATATTTTTAATTCCCTGGAAATTTTCTATGAATATACCATTATGTACATTCTTCGCAGAGCGGACACTCCCGTAACTGGACGCGGACAGTCATTTTGGTCCTGAAACGTTGCTTTCTATCTCCACAAACCGGATATTACTTTTTCCAAATTTGAAAAGGGAACTATTTTTGCTTTAAATTGCAAGCTAAAAAAAATCCAACTTTTCACCATTTTTAAAGCATGTAAATTAAATTTTTTGCCTTATCCGTAACTAAAAATATTGTTAAGCTATTTCACCACTGAAAAATCAATCTTTCTCCTGTCACCTTACCTTATCTTTGTAAAGAAAGGAGAGAAAATGGTACTGCACTCCTGAAATAATTCTGACATCGGCATCTTTTGATCTTTTCATCTGGACCACATAGGTCACGAGACCCCTCAAGGTGAAATGACATCTCTCAATGCTTCTTCCCTATTGAAAATTTCTTTAATTTCCTTATAAATTTGAAGATTGTATTTAACACAACTGGGGTAAAAAAAGGGTAACAGAAGTATAATCTTTGAGGTGTTTATATAAATGAAACATTTATTCAGACACTTGATAGCTGATCAATTATGAATAATCAACTCCATAAGTCCTCATGACTTACAGGTATGCATAACTTTTTTTCTATGAATCATGGGAGGTTTTTTTTTCTTTCAAGAAGGTATTAACTATGGTCCCTATCAAATGATAAGTAGGTGTAAGGGGATGTAAAATTAATAATTGAAACGGACTGAGGACAGAAAGCTCCCATTCGGTACCATATGTCTAACTTGAGTACCTTTGCTGATATGAAAATTATAATTATTTATTTATTTACCTGTAGCTACATCCAGAATTATGTATTT